AACCAACAGAGAAAAATTTGAAATTTTAAGAGGGGTGCGATAGGGGTGAATTTTGTCTTCTATGCTCTTCAATCTCTATGTAGAGAACATTTTTGCAGAGGCACTGGAAGGCTCTGAGTGTGGAATAAAGGTAAACGGATTCCCGATAAATAACATTCGTTACGCCGACGATACCGCGATAATAACAGATATCGAACATGATATGCAATTGATGTTAAGTAAAATAAACACCGTAGGAAAAATATATGGCTTGAAGATAAATGCTGAAAAACTTGCACGGCAATAAGAAAAAACGCACTTTTAAGAATACAACTGCAAGTAGATAATGCTCCAATCGATCAAGTGAAAACATTTGGGACTGATGATGAACGAACAATGGGATCCTCAACAAGAAATAAAATGCCGTACCGAACAAGCAAGACAAGCTTTTATCAAATTTAAACCGCTACTATGTAACCGCAATCTTTTCTTCAATCTCCGCTACAGGATGGTTAAATGCTATGTATGGTCCATATTGTTATACGGCATGAAAACATGGACGTTAAGAGTACCTTCCATTAAAAAGTTGGAGGCCTTATTAAAGGTACGAAAAACCTGGATACCTCGGCCATATTCTGAGAGGAAAATCCCTCAACTAATCATCCAGGGAAAGATTGAAGGCAAGGAAAGATTGAGGAGTAGGTCGCAAACAAATGTCGTGGCTACAGAACATAAAAACTGGACAGCATAAATAACACTGGCGATCTTTTGCATGCCGCAAAAGACAGACGTCTGGTCTTAATATAATTCGCCAACGCACTATAGTGTACGGCACTATAAGAAGAAGAAGACAAGTGCGATACCTATATAATCTATATATATATATTATATATATATATATCTATATATAATGATTTCGATGAACGTACCATTTGATTCTAAACGTTTACAATTTCCCGTGCTTTTGGCTGCTGCAATGCCAATAAACAAATCACAAAGCCAACTATTTGCGGAAATTTGCGGAATTAATTTTGAGTTTATATGTTACGCGCATGGGCAATTATTCGCGTGACGGAAAACTGTCATTGTTGTATATATGATTAAAGCAAAAAAAATAATATCAGAAAGCATCAAATTGATTTAACTTTTTAAACGCATAATATTTTTGAGTGTTTTTTTGGTTTTATTTTTTTTTGAAAATGAGGAAATTTCTGAGTAACCAAAGACTCAATCTGCAAATCCGATATCGGATGGTAAAATGTTATATCCACTCTATTCTTCTTTATGGTGTGAAGCCTGGACCGTTAATGTTGACTTAATGAGAAAACTGGAAGCTTTTTAGGAGAATTTTGAAGATACCATGGACCGATCATATTACGAACGAAATGTGTTGCACACAATGGGAAGAGACAGAGAACTTTTCGACCACCCTTAAAAGGCGAAAGACAGCATATTTGGGGCACATACTAGAAATGATAAGTACGAGTTGTTGCAGCTGATTATGAAAGGTAAAATCGAAGGAAAAAGGGATTCTGGTAGACAACAAACATCCTGGCTGAAAAACTGGACCGGGTTGCATCTAAACATTCCGTATATGTATTCGGCACCTAGGACTTTTCTATTGGTTCTTTGCGGCACGCGGCAATGTTTCAACCAATAGGCGGCGAGGTGCCAGACACGTATACGGAATGTTACTCTGGTGCCAAATTCATATACGGAATGTTAAAAATATTCATAAACCAAAATAGACAACTTTTTATTAAAATGAGTTAAAAGGAAACTGATTCTAAAATATTTGTTAATGTGTGATTAAGGAAAATTAAAAGAATGCAATAAGAAATAAAACAAAATATATTTAAATAAATTAAAAAAAATTTCAAATGTTTAAAATGTAATATTTATGCGTAATTCAACGCCCTTCGCCATGTGTTTGATTTGCCTGCGAAATGCATATACGGAATGTTAAAAATATTCGTAAACTAAAATAGACGACTTTTTATTAAAATGAGTTAAAACGAGACTGATTCTAAAATATTTGTTAATGTATGATTAAGGAAAAGTAAAAGAATGCAATAAGAAATAAAACAAAATATATTTAAATAAATAAAAAAAAATTCAAATGTTTAAAATGTAATATTTATGCGTAATTCAACGCCCTTCGCCATGTTTAGTTGCATTTGTTTGATTTGCTGCGATATTGGACGAAAGATTGTGACTCCTTTTTAATCTTTTTTTAGGAGATTCATCTTTAGGTGGTCTTCCAAATGGTAATCTTTTTGACCCTCTAGTAACTCCCAACTTTCTTCGACTGATTGAAGTAGGTTGCACTCTTATATTGGCCTTGTGTCCAAATCGCCTTGCCGAGGAACTTCCTGCCGTGTTTAAAAAACTTTCCCAAGCCGTTTTTGTTTGAATATGGGATAATCTTTCGTGCAGCAATTTTAAAGTTGATGAATCAGTTCCAAATGTAACATTTTTATCTTGTAGCATATTAATAAAATCTGTAAACGAAAATGCTTGTTGTTCATCTGTTTCATTTTTGTTTAATATAATATCTTCTCTAACAATATTTTCATCAATATTATCAATGCTTTTAATAATATTAGGTTCTGTAATACATTTATTGGATCCTGCAAGTCCGCTATAAAATGAAAAAGGTTAAACTTTTTCGCCAAAAGCTAATTTAGCTACGTCGTATCGATCTTCAGGAGTAGTAGCTGGAACGTTGCAAAAAGATATATTAAAAAAATGTGCAATCGCAGCTTGATGCTTGCAAAAGGCACCCAATCTTCCAATTTCGCAACTGCAAAATCCTGTTGCTATATCGACTTCGGAAAGCACACTATTATTTTGCTCACTAGGAACTTTGTATAAATTTTTAAAAAATTTACTTATATCTTTCTGTTGTAAATATTTAATTTCTCCTAAAAAAAGATTAAAAAGGAGTCACAATATTTCGTCCAATATCGCAGCAAATCAAACAAATGCAACTAAACATGGCGAAGGGCGTTGAATTACGCATAAATATTACATTTTAAACATTTGAATTTTTTTTAATTTATTTAAATATATTTTGTTTTATTTCTTATTGCATTCTTTTACTTTTCCTTAATCATACATTAACAAATATTTTAGAATCAGTCTCGTTTTAACTCATTTTAATAAAAAGTCGTCTATTTTAGTTTACGAATATTTTTAACATTCCGTATATGCATTTCGCAGGCAAATCAAACACATGGCGAAGGGCGTTGAATTACGCATAAATATTACATTTTAAACATTTGAATTTTTTTTAAATTTATTTAAATATATTTTGTTTTATTTCTTATTGCATTCTTTTACTTTTCCTTAATCATACATTAACAAATATTTTAGAATCAGTCTCGTTTTAACTCATTTTAATAAAAAGTCGTCTATTTTAGTTTACGAATATTTTTAACATTCCGTATATGCATTTCGCAGGCAAATCAAACACATGGCGAAGGGCGTTGAATTACGCATAAATATTACATTTTAAACATTTGAATTTTTTTTTAATTTATTTAAATATATTTTGTTTTATTTCTTATTGCATTCTTTTAATTTTCCTTAATCACACATTAACAAATATTTTAGAATCAGTTTCCTTTTAACTCATTTTAATAAAAAGTTGTCTATTTTGGTTTATGAATATTTTTAACATTCCGTATATGAATTTGGCACCAGAGTAACATTCCGTATACGTGTCTGGCACCTCGCCGCCTATTGGTTGAAACATTGCCGCGTGCCGCAAAGAACCAATAGAAAAGTCCTAGGTGCCGAATACATATACGGAATGTTTAAATGCGACCGGGTTAAACACACAGACGTTCTTAAGAAAAGCAGAAGATAGAGACGAATTTGCAATGAGCCAACCTTCATTAGTGGAGACGGTACTAGAAGAAGAAGATCGATGTCAAGAACCGCTATTCTACGACACTACGTCTTCCCGTGGCGCTAGTACTATTACGCTCGTCCCAGCATTTTACTGTAGAGAAAAAAGTAATACAAATACAACGCCATTACACAAACTTCGCTTCAAAAAATTATATCTTATCTATATCGCAATCAAACTGCCAAGATAAAAGTTGTCAACACGAACATCTGAGATATCAAAATACAGATGGGAGTCCGACAGGGTCGTTTGCTGTACCCGCTACTCTTCAATGTTTTCAATGGCAATATTTAAAGGAGCGTTCTCAGATTCAATAGAGAGTATATCTATCAAAAGAGAAATTTTGAACAACTTACGTTTTGCAGATTGATACAGTAATATTGATGGATCAAAACTATACTTTACAGAATGTAATGTAACGCCTTAATGACTACTGTCAATAATACGGGCTAAGGATGAATTTGAAGAAAACTATGTCATTATCATGACTAAATCAGCAGAGACAAACATCCAACTGGTTATTGAAGATGTTGTAATTGAGGGCGTGGATACCTATTCATTAAAATTAAAAAGTTTCTATATGGTTGGAATAGAAGGTTAGAGCTACGTCTAAGGATGCTTCCGTGTTACGTGTTCTCTACTTTTCGTTGTGGCTTGGAAGCGCGGACACTTACAACAATTGCATATATAAGTTAGACTCCTTTACATTTTGATGTTACATTAGAATCCTACGAATATCATGAATTGAAAGAGTGTTATGTTATGTTATTATATTATTATGTAATTGTAGGTAAATATTTGAACACAGAAGTTTTTCAAATATAGGCAACACACATTATGCTACCAGTCGAAGATGCTACAATCGATTTTGAAGAAAAGATAAAATCGAGATAATTTGAAAATTTGTTAATCCAGCTCACAATTTAAATTAAATTAGTATTTTTGTTATCTACTTGTAATAAAAATAGTTAATAAATTTACAAACACCATTTTCAGTGATATTTAATTTTTTTTTGTTTTATTTGCTTTTTATTTTGCCTTTGTGTTTTTAAAAATCGAATTGACCGTTTCTGTCAGCTAACTGTCGGTTGTCGCGCTGTCTGGTCTTGTCGAAAGTAGTGGGGGAAGAATTCCATTTTCTAGTGACTGTTTTATGTTTTATTTAGTGTTAGTTGTTAATAAGAACAAATCATTGTGTTTTTCTTGCTTTATTTAAATATTTTAGTGATATTAAGTTTAATAATGACTAAAACGTAGCGACATGGCTTGCGTACGGACCGCGTACAACCTAATTTCACATCAGCAGGTGTTAGACTGACACTAGGGTCAATTCAAATACCTATATCCTGTATATGAACTCTTTTTCTGTTGCTGAACAGATTGTAATGGTAAATTGGACAATTTCGCTTTACTTAGGATACGCTTATACGACATGCAGGTATGTAATCTCGCTATTAAAATAAACTTTTAGCGATCTTTTATCCTCCAATGTCATTTAGTGGATGTTCTTTCTGTCAAAAGTTTCTTATTTAGAGAAAAGACCACTGTTTTTTATTTTCGTTTTGTTTAAGTTGTATTGATTATAAATTCTGCAAGTGGATGTTTGGGTTATTCCAGCTGTAAGTGTGCCCTGCCTAAGGGTTTTGTTTGTTGTGATCCATCAAGAAAGGGAGTGTCTTAATATGGATATGAGGCTCTTTATACAAACAATGCATCCATCAAATTATTGCTCAAAAATAAATTAGTACCTATTTCTATAAATTTCTTATTAAAATTGTATTTATGTATTACATATACAGAGTGTTTATCATAGCCAGTAAGTCATCTTTTACTTTACACATTTTAGAAAGTTCATTTGGCAGATTTTAGAAATTTACACAACATTTTCAAGTTCTCATACCTATTTATCTGTAATATTGTATTTTAAAAGTAAATTTGATAGTATGCAATTTAATTTTAAGAAAATCAGTGTTTTCTACTGACAATAAAAATTGAGGTCACCATTAAAATTATAAAAAATGTATTGCTGATGATTTTAAATGTTTATAAATTGGACCTTCTTGACGCGTGAATGTTGAAAAATTGTAATTGGGGACATTTTAAAATATATGAACTTCTTAGAAGAGAATCTATGAATTGGGTGAGTTGTAGTAATCTTGCTTTAAAACTTCAAAAAATGTAATTATCATCTGCTAGAGTCTTGGAAATATTCATAATGATTTCTTTAATATGGCACACAAATATTAGTAATGTAAAATATGAAAAATATTTTATGATGCATAATGTCCCACTTTACTCCTTTGCTTTTTATTTAAACACATGTATTTATTTACATTTAGTTTAAATTCAATAAATTGTTGTTATTTTTTCTGTATTACATTGATATACTTATTTATGTTATATTCTAAGTATATATATATATATAATGCGGTGGTTAGTAGTTCCTCAAACCTTGTAAATTTCGCTGATGACTCAAATGTGCTTTTCTGGGAAAAAACTTTAGAAACACTCCTCACAGTATCAGAGCAAATTCTAAGCAAGGCTGAACAGTGGTTCAGTGGAAATCGGTTGTTGCTTAATACTGATAAGACAGTTTTTGTCTACTTTAGAACCAGCCAGTCACGAGAACAGTTTCCAGATACAATTAATTTTCTATCAGAAAACACGGAACCTGCTAGATCAGTTAAATTTCTTGGTATTCATATTGACCAGAATCTGAATTGGGGGGAACAAATACAAAATACAACAAAAAAACTGAATAGAGCCTGCTACTCATTAAGAGTGTTAAAGAGCTATCTAGACCAGGGGATTTTACTATCAGTATATTATGCAAACTTTTATTCTGTTATGCGATATGGAGTAATCTTCTGGGGTGCTGCAGTAGATAGCTCAACTGTCTTTATAGTCCAAAAAAAGGCAGTCCGGGTGATCTTAGGACTAAAGGCAGGAGAATCCTGTAGAGGCCGATTCAAGTCACTCAATATACTCACTTTCTCAGCCATCTATATATTTGAATGTATTATGTTCCTTTTTAAAAATTTTTCTTTGTTTTATCACCTGCTTCCCAATCATGAATATAATACAAGAAGCCTTAATTTGAATTTGCCACTTCACAGATTGTCTATAACAGAGAGAAGTCCTTTGTATGCGTGTGTTAAATTTTATAATAGTCTACCATCTGACATTAAACAGGAAACACACTATAGAGCTTTTAAAAGAAAGGTTTTTCAACACCTAGTTGACATTGAGCCGTATACTGTGGCGGAGTGCCTGGCCTATCCTTCTCCTTGATCAGCATATTTAATTTGTAATGTTAATATATTTTAAATGTGTGATGTCAATATATATATTTTTTTAATCTGTAATTAATAATGTGACATTATTTGCTCAATTATGTTTAAAAATTTATGCAAATAAAAATTTACTCTACTCTATATCAAGAGGATTTCCTTTCCCTTTGTAAACACTCTCCCTTTTGTGCATGAAAATATCTGATTTCTTTATATTAATTGAAAATGAACAGAGTTAATCATATTTTGTTCATTTTCTTTAGTCTTATATAGTTTTCTTTCCATTTGGTCCCAACAATAATATTTGAGCAATGATCTTTCATATTTTGTTGATTTCTTTGTTACGGCCCACAAATATAAGTAATGTAAAATATGAAAGATATTTCATGTATTTTGAAGTTATTTTATGATGCATAATGTCCCACTTTACTTATTTGTTTTTTATTCAAACATGTACAGTGGAGCATAGATTATTAAACAAACTGGGCAACATGAGTGTTCAGAAAATTGGGTTTTTCGGATAACTGAACTGTATTGATAGAGCCATACATAAATATTTATCCACAGGTGAATGAAAATTTATATACTGACATATGTATGTATATGTAGGTATATAAATATATATTAACAGGTTGGATGCCGCTATTTTGTAACTTACTTTTACGTGGTCCCGACTAAGAAATGTAAATAAATATATAAATATGTACCGAACGCTTATAAGCGACGGAGGTACCCAAGCAAAGTACACAGTGACGCTTATAAGTGTCAAAGGCATCCAACCTGTTAACTGGTATGGGAGGAGATTCCTACAGGTAAAAGATCACTCAGATAGAATGCTATGGAGAGATAACATCCAAGCAAATCTCCGGAAAATGAACATTCTATTTGACCCTAGGTTGATGGAAGACTGAACAAATTGGAAAAAAGTTGTACAGTCAGCCAAGACCCACCCATTGTTATAGCGCTACATGATGATGATGATATGTATTTATATCTTTAATGAAAAATAGAAATTAAACAAAGAAGTACAGTCTTTGCAACAAAACATATTCTATTGTGAGACCTATCCTTCTTTGTATTTCAGTTGTCTGATTATCTCGGCCTAGGCGAATCTCATGCCCTAGATATTTGTAAGCTATTACTTGGTCGATGCTATGGCTCTCAATCAGAATTTTACTGCTGACAATATCATCGGCAAATCTTAGGTGGTTCAGATCTTCACCATTTATATTAATTCCCATATTATCCTCTCATTCCATTTGCTTGAACCTATATTCAAGAACAGCTGTAAACAATTTGCTGATGATGATCTATATTATCGAATGCCTTTTCATAATCTCCAAATATAAGAAAGATAGGCTTGTTATACTCTGTACACTTTTCTATTAGCATTTTTACAACTTGCAGATGATCATTTGTTCCGTATTTGGAGCAGAACCCAGCCTGTTCACAAGGTTACTAACTATCCAGTTTGTTCACAAGCTGTTTTATTATTATCTTCATGAATAGTTTGTATGTATGGGAGAGCAAACTAATAGGTCTGTAGTTCTTTAGGTCTGAAATGTCACCTTTTTTGTGCATTATGATTATTATTGCATTATGCCACTGGGAGGGGGTTATGCCTATTATCAAACAAGCATTGAACATCTTTTTCAACACATTTATTAACGTTCTTCCTCCTTCTTTGATTTGTTCAATGACTATCCCATCTTCTCCAGCCGCTCCACTGAACTTAGTTTATTGACATTTACTGATTTCCTTATAGAATCTCTTAAAGTAAAGTTTGTGTAACCTTCTGGCTAAGGTCTAGTGTTGGGGTTTTTACTTGACTTCATGACTACTTTCGTAGCTGGGACCTACGACTTTATGTGCCCTCTGAAGCAAGGTAGCAGCTCAGTTAAATTAGAAATTGAAAATTTTGTCAGTGCCGGTATTCGAACCCGGGCCCTCCAGGTTGTTAAGCCAATAACACTGAGCTACAGCTGACACCATAGAATCTCTTAACCCTCTAACCGGTAAGTCGTCCCTGAGGATGACATTCCATTAATTCAAATAATTTAATAAGTAACATGTTGTGTCGATCAAACCGTTTAGACGTCTTTTAGTATGTTTCAAAGTAATACATTGTTGACCGTTTGAAAATTGTACGATGCGCCATTCAAAATTTATTACCAGTCGAGTAAGAACAATAAGTGAGTAGACACGTATTTATTATTGCTCCGTATTATGAACAAATAAAAAATTTTAACAGATATTTCTAAGTATCGGATTACACTAGAAATTTTTGTAGTGAGTATATAAATATATATTGTAGGCTCCGTTAATAAATAATATTGTTCTAGTTTTCTTAAGTTTATTTAGCGGAAAGAAACACTAATTGTACATAATTCGACATAATAGTTTTCATAACATTCAGATGGCCATAATTCATAATCACAAGTGTCAAGTCTAAACATAAAGTGTGGTTATCTTCTTTTTTTTCAAATTGAGTGACAATCAGACCTGTCAATGGCGCGAAATTCAAATAAGACTACAGTTCGGCCATCCTGACACGTCTGATCGTCCTCGATCAACCTAATATTACAGTATATTAATTACATAACTAAGATATTTAACATTCATGACTTTCATAAGACATAACATAATGGATATTTGAAATGAACATTTTCCTTTAAAGTTTAAAACATACAGTAATAATAATAATAATTCATAATGAGTTAAATAAACAAATCATAATAATCATAATTCATAATGGTTTAAATAAGCAAGGCATAACATTCATAATAGTTTAAATAAGCACGACATAACATACATAATGGATTGAAGTGTCCATAGGGGTACAAATGGAAATCATAATATCCATAACACACCCTAACTGTCTCGATGTAATGGTACAAGTAATGGATTATAAATAAGCATAAACATAATTGAATAAAAATTAAACATAATTATTTTAACCCTAACTAATAATGAAATTGATTATTTATCATAAGCTCTAATCCTACTACTGTCTATAATTCCCTCATATGGTACTTGTGTTGTTTGGAACCCAACAATATCATTCACAATATACCTATCATTTGGTAGCTCTTTCACAATCTCATACGGTCCTCTAAATTTTGGTATAAGTTTTTTAGCTACTCCAGGG